CTTCAAGCAATTCTCCTGACTCAGCCTCCTGAGTAGCTGGGATTACAGGCGCGCATCACCACACCCAGCTATTTTTTTTTTTTTTTTGTATTTTTAGTAGAGACGGGGTTTCACCATGTTGGCCAGGAAGGGCTTGATCTCTTGACCTCATGATCCACCCGCCTCGGCCTCCCAAAGTGCTGGGATTACAGCCGTGAGCCACCGCGCCTGGCCAAGTATATGTTAGTTTTATACCTCTCTGCAGATCGAGTAGTGGGACTGGCAGAGGCCTTTAATCTGCAGTGACTCTGGGACCTCCGAGCATGGAGCCCCGGGACCTGATTGTTTGGGATCTGGTTCTGCATTCTTAGCATCCAGGGTTAGTTAGCAGGGGTTTGGGAGTTAGCTTTTGTAGTAAAGGGAGTACCTATGTCAAGTGGCACTCACTCATGAGTGGAGGAAAAGCTGTAGTATTGGCTTCAGATAAAGCAAAGTAATTGCCAAGAGAATTATAGAAAATGTGCATTAAGTTACAAAAATGTGTATCTCAAACAGTAGCTTTATTTCTAATAAGACTGACCTATATTTGCTGACTGATGGGTCTTTGAACAAGGAGCAGTATGTGTCATTTTACCAAATGGAACCAAAAATAAAAGATGTATTAGGTTTTCTACGTATCGTTAGTTACTTTATCACGAATAACGTGTAGTGTCATCTTGGTGCTTCTTAATCAGCCTTTCCTTCCAACCAACTGTGAGAATAATTAGATGAAATTGGCGGCAGACCACTGCTTCCACATTAATCTTAAGCTGGTGTCCGTGAAACATTCAAACATTAACGTTCACCACAAAAGTGCTCTTAAGCGTGTGTTTCTGAAGTTCAAAATTTTTAGTCATCAGTATTTGGAAAGCAAAGACTTTGTCTTGTGTTAAGCAATGGCGTACATGGCAAAACCCACAGGGAATCACGTGGCTCTCATCAGTGGAGGAACCAATCTGCTGAGAAAGCGGTTTCAGAGCCAGATGCAGTGTGGGTATTTTCATAAGCCTGGGAAGCCAGCTGTCCAATCAAGAGGCTCCTGGATTCCCTGCTTCATGTTCTCATGATACCCAGGCCATTAGAAGCCTCACCATCTAGAAGGTCACTGGGCAGAGGAGAAGAGAGGATGATGAAACTGTCGCTGGCTCCTAGTGCTTCTACCCACCTGAGTTTAATTGGCCAGAGCAAGTGTCAGTTTCATCACTAGTGTCATTTTCCAAGCAGACATGGAAATGCCACTCTGCTCTATTCCCAGGAGAGAGAAGTGGGAAATTGGTTAGTCATTCATAATGACCGACTAAACAAAAAATGCAGGGTAATGATTCAGATGGAAAGCTGGTTCCTTGAAAAGTCTGATGGCTTAGAGGAAACTTCGGTGAGGCTGATCAACAGGAGAGAGAACACAGTGGAAAGGCAATATAAACAGGGTCAGGGAAGTTTCGCGAAGGTGTAATGGAATGCTCTGTGGGTTTATTACAGTATGTTTGAAAAATTTGGACATTATAGATGGTTTTCTAGGAAAATAGAACTAACCAAATTGCGTCAAGATGTTGTAGATGCCTGAGTAGAAGTGCTTCGTTTTTAAATTTCTTTTAAGGTCTGCTGCTGTGATACTGTGAAGTTTATATTAGGTCGTCACCCCTGTTTGCTAGCATACAGCTCCTAAAATCCTTAGAAACTCTGTCTTCACATGCTGTCTTTTTGTATGCTAATGAGTTGATGGCTGGCATCCCCTAGGGTAGCTTCAGGATGGTGACTTGTCACCTGAATGACCAAGGCAACGTTAGAGGGCTGAAAACTTTCAGTCCTAATCCCCAACTTCTGGGGAGGATAGAGGGGCTGAGGTTAAGTTGATCACTCATGGTCAGTGTTACAATCAGTCTTGCCTACAAAGCAAAGCTTCCATAAACTCCTAAAGGACCTAAAACGGAACCCCAGAATTCAGAGAACTTCCGGATAGCTGGATATGTACGGGTTGATGGAAGCTCCACACCTCTCTCTCCATGCGTTGCACTATGCGTCTCTCCATCCACATCTTTTGTAATATCCTTTGTAGTAAAATGGTAAACATGTTCTCCTGAGTTTTGTGAGCCTCCCTAGTAAAGTAATTGAACCCAAAGAAGGGGTCATTGGAACCCCAACTCGATGCCGGTGGGTCAGAAGTTCCAGAGGCCCAGACTTGTGATGAGTGTCTGAAGGCAGAGGGGTGCGTAGCCTTGTGGGACTCAGCCCTCGCCCTGTGTGGTCTGATCCTATCTCCAGGTGGATAGTGTTGGAGCTGAGGTAGGGAACACCTAGCTTGTGGCAGCAGCAGAATCGAGTGCTTGCTTCGTGTTGGGGAGAAATCCCCACACACATTTGGTCACAGAAGTCTCCTGTGTTGATTATGACTGAGTGAGAGAAGAGAAAAAGCTCTTTGAGTTTGTGTGTTTTCCCACAAAACGGGTAGAAATGCACAGAGGCTGGTTGCTTTTATGAGTGAGTTCTACCAGATCTCCTAGAAACGGATATTACATGCACAGTAAATATTTTTGGAATGATTGGGAGGCCGAGGCAGGTGGATCACGAGGTCGAGAGATCGAGACCAACCTGGTCAACATGGTGAAACCCCATCTCTACTAAAATACAAAAAATTAGCTGGGCATGGTGGCGCGTGCCTGTAATCCAAGCTACTCAGGAGGCTGAGGCAGGAGAATTGCCTGAACCCAGGGGGCGGAGGTTGCGGTGAGCCGAGATCGCGCCATTGCACTCCAGCCTGGGTAAGAAGAGCGAAACTCCGTCTCAAAAAAATATATATATATATTTTTGGAATGAAATGGATGGACAAGGTTGGCGTGATGCTAAAATCAGAAGAGGGTGTCACTCAGAAGTCAGCATCACTTATGAACATAGATGCAGCAATCTTAAAGCAACTAAGCCGATGGGGTCGGGAAGCACATCAGGAGAGGAAGCACAGCTCTGTGCCTTCGAGTCTTTGCTCAGACATCTTTTTCTGAAGGAGCTACGCTTCGCTCGCTCTGGTTAGCATTGCAGCTTCCCCTGCCGCACTCCCAAGCGTTACCCTATTTGCTGTAACATATCTCATAATTATTTAGTATGTCATTTATTGTCCTCTCCTCCTGGTACAAGGTAAACACCATAAGGGCAGGGCTTTCTTCTGTTTCTTTCACTGATATATGCCAACTACCTAGAAACGTTGGCGCTTAGTATTTGTTGCAAAAATGACTCATCCTGAATGCAAAATAGGATCCTGGATTGGATTCTGGAACAGAAAAGGCCATCAGTGGAAAACTGGCGCCACTCAAATTGTCTGTAACTGAATTGTTAGTATTGTATTAGTGTAAATTTCTTAGTTTTGATAAATACAACACATGTAAGATGTTAACATTAGGGAAACCTGAGTGATGGGTATATGGAAACTCTCTGTAGTATCTTTGAAACTCTTCTATAAAGCTAACATTATTTCAAAAGAAAAGCTCATTAAAATGAGAGATACCAAGAGCCTTCATTAAAAAGTAAAATTTCTGTTAAATGACACCACCTCAGTGAGTCTTACCCTGACCACCCAATGTTGCCCTCTCAACCTTGCTTCCCTGCTCTGCTTTTTTCTTTTTTGGCAGGGTATTTGCTATCTTCTAATACATTATACAGATCACTTATTTATTATGCTTCTTGTCGTCTGTTTGTGAGGACAGGGGACTTTGTTTGCCGGTATACCTCAAGTGCCTACTACAGTGCCTGGCCCAAAATAGCTGTATGTGAAAACAACCCCACAGCAAACCACAAGTTTCTCTGTGAGCGAGGGGTGGAAAAGGTCTAGGTCAAGCCTGCTAGTGAACATCCTGATTGCTTTTCAGGGTTGGACTAGTTACTAGCAGAATAGTCACTGGGAAGGGGCACAGGACTTAGAGTGGGACAAGCCCTCAGTCTCGGGGGTGCTTACGGGAACTGAGAGGAGCACCACCTTACATTTTGCACCCCCTGTGTCTCTCTTGCCTCATGCGAGTTCCAGACTGCAAAGACTTCCTCTTTATTTTTGAATTACATGAAATTCAATAATTTCATTGATAATGTGTGTTAATTGCTTAAGTTTTAAAAATTATTCATAGTGATGAAGAAGGGAAGAAAAGAAACGCAAGCTGTTCATAAAACCCTTTAAAAATTACCAAGAAGTTGTTTTGCCTTTAGAACGAGAAATTAAGACTAAAGAATTACTCATTTTCTGTTCTCCTTAGGGCCTAAGTTGCTCCCTACCACGTGATGCTAAGTGTTGAGGGAAGCAGAATTCACAACTGGCTCTTTTTGGTCCACATGTAGTTTACTGTGCTGAGGCAGTAATATGAATCAGATCAAATGTGCCAAAGTGGGGAAATATCAGTACCAGGATAATATTGAAACTGCAGAAATAGTTTTCTTTTCTTTTCTTTTTTTTTTTTTTTGAGACGGAGTTTCGCTCGTTACCCAGGCTGGAGTGCAATGGCACAATCTCGGCTCACCGCAACCTCCGCCTCCTGGGTTCAGGCAATTCTCCCTCCTCAGCCTCCTGAGTAGCTGGGATTACAGGCATACGCCACCATGCCCAGCTAATTTTTTGTGTTTTTAGTAGAGACAGGGTTTCACCATGTTGACCAGGATGGTCTCGATCTCAAACTCATCTTCAAGCCTGGTCTTCTGAGTTCTACACACTTGAATTCGTTTGCCGCCCACCTGAAGCATGAGGACCATATGGTGTCTCTCAGCTGACGGGCAGGGGAGTCCCTGCTGCAGCACTGGTTTCTAGGTCAGTTACCCTCCCTCCCAGCTCACTTAACTCACTGATGAGATTTGCCTTAACACAGAAAAATATGGTCATTAAAGTGCAAAAAGGTAATAATTCAACCTTGTGCAAAGAATGAAGCAATGGAGATGCTTTGCTCATTTGTCTTTATGATGATGTGATTGTATTTCTGTGTGGTTATGATGGAAATTATGATCTATTGCAGGGGCATCAGGAGAGCATTCTGGGTAACACCATGCAAAGTGTGATCGCATTACTCAACAATCTAGTTGCCTGCAAAGATTCGAATATGAAGCTACTTTATGAACAAGGTAAATGCTTCATAGAATTACTCTCCGATCGAGTTTTGCCTATTCGTAAGTTTCTTCATCTTATCTAGCAGAGTCTAGAAGTACTCCTTGAAGTTGATGAGTCAAAATAGATATTTAATAATTTTTAAGTCATATCACTAGCAAAAGTTGGAAGTGTGGGATGGTTTCTCTAAGTTCATTTATTCTCTTTCATGGCATAAAGTCAGTAGGCATTGCTTAAAGATGACAAACCAAGAAACAGAAGTATAATCACAGTATTGAGACTGATTGGTCTCTGTCTTCATCTGTTTTCTGTTGCTGTAACTGAATACCTGAGACTGAGTAATTTAAAAGGAAAAGAAATCTCTTTTGTACAGTTCTAGATGCTGGGAAGACCAAGATTGAGGGGCTGCATCTGGCGAGGTCCGTCTTGCTGTTGGAGACTCTTTGCAGAGTCCAAAGGCAGGGCAGGGCATCGCATGGTGAGGGGCTGAGCTCGCTGGCTCAGGGTTATCTTCCTCCTCTTATGCAGTGACTTATGTCCCCTCCTAATGACCTTCTCTAATCCTAACTGCTACTCCAAGTTCTCACCTCTAATACCATAGTTGGATTTCCCATCCTCTTAATGTCATTTTAACGGGGGTTAAGGGTCAGCATGAGTTTTGGAGGGGATGAACATTTGAACCCTCTAACACTGCCAATCAAAATAAAAACAGATATGACCAAAAGCACCTTGGAAAATGAAACTGGATGAGTTGACAGTGGTTTACTTTATATCTTATGCGTGTCTGTACTGTTACAATTCTAAAAATCATGTTTACTCGTGCATTACTTAACTACAGACATGTGTTCTGAGAAATGCATTGTTAGGCAATTTTATCGTTGTGGAACACCATAGTGTGTACTTAGAAAATCTAGGTGGCATAGCCTGTTACACACCTAGGCTGTGTGGTGTGGCCTGTTGCCTCTAGGCTGCAAACCTGTGCAGCATGTTACTGGACTCCATACTGTAGTCAGTTGTGACACAGAGCTCTAAGTATTTGGGTACTGAAACATAGGAGAGGTGTGGCAAACATGACATCAAAGATAAAACAGGATACACCTGTCTGTGTAGGGCACTAAGTATGGATGAAGCTTTCAGGGCTGAGTGAGCCACTGAGTGGGTGGTGAGTGGACGTGGAGGCCTGGGATGTTCCTGGGCACTGCTGTAGACTTTATCAACCTGCGCACTTAGGCTACACTCAGGTTATACAAAATGTTTTTCTTTGTTTCACAGTAAAGTAACCTTAGTTTCCTGTCACTTTTAAACTTCATAACTTAAAAATCCTTTCCTCCTTGTTTACTCTTTTGTAATAACACTTAGCTTGGAATACAAGCACATGGCATAGCTTTATATCCTCATTCTGTAAGTGTTTTGTTTCTTGTTTGTTTTTTTGAGACAGGGTCCCATTCTGTCACCCTGGCTGGAGTGCAGTTAGGCGATCCAGCTCACTATAGCCTTGAACTCCCCAAGCTCAGGTGATCGTCCTACCTCAGCCTCTCTAGTAGCGGAGACTACAGGCGCATGCCACCCTGCCCAGATAATTTTTCTGTAGAGACAGGGCTTCATCATGTTGCTTAGTCTGCCCTTGAACTCTTGGGCTCCAGTGGTCTGCCCACCTCAGCCTTTGAAAATGCTGAGATTGTAAGTGTGAGTCACCGCACCTGCCCACTTTTTTCTATTTTTAAATTTGATTAACTTTTTTAGTTTTTAAACTTTTGTGTTAAAAACTAAGACGAAAACACATGCATTAACCTTCACCTAAATGGGATCAGGGTCATCAAGTTGTCACTAGATGACAGGAAATTTTCAGCTTCATTATAATTTTGTGGGGCCACCGTCGTGTATGCAGTCTACTGTTGACTGAAGTATCATGCAGTGCAGGACGGTCTAGGTTACTCTTTCACGTTAATAGCTGTCACTGGAATCCTTCACGAAAATAAGACTTGGGACAAAATCTGTCACTGAATAAATTTACCAAGTCATTGTTTTAATTTCTGCCCATCCCACCCCCAAAAAATTTAGAGTTCTGCTTTTTTCTTTTCTTTTTTTTTTTTTTGAGACAGAGTCTTGCTCTGTTGCTCAGGTTGGAGTGCAATGGCGCCATCTCGGCTCACTGCAACCTCCACCTCCTGGGTTCGAGCAATTCTCCTGCCCCAGCCTCCTGAGTAGCTGGGATTACAGGCATGCGCCACCAGGCCCAGATAACTTTTGTATTTTTAGTAGAGACGGGGTTTCACCATGTTGGTTAGGATGGTCTCTCTCATACGCCTGACCTCAGGTGATCCACTAGTCTCAGCCTCCCAAAATGCTGGGATTACAGGTGCGAGCCACCCCGCCCGGCCTAGAGTTCTGTTTCTGTGTGGTTAATATATTTCAATGCTGGTAATACTTTTTTCCTCCCCTGAGAAAAATAGGCACTCACCCACAGTGATAAATACTGCCAACAGTTGTGGGGCTTTCGTACATAGAGATGTTTATTCTTTCACATAGCAACACCCTGTTCTCTCCTTTATGATTGTAGCATAATTTATTTAACCGGGGCTCTAATGATAGATATGTGCTGCTCCAATATTTTGCTGTGACAGACAGTTCTGCAATGAATAGCTTTATACATACATCCTTTCACATGGGAGCAGGAACGCTTATAGGAGAAATTCCTGGAATTGGAATTGTTAGATCAAAGGATATATACATATGTAATTTCTGTAGATGTTGACAAGCTGCTCTAAGTGATGTGCCAACTTAAATTTCCACCAGGACACATGAGATTGCTTGTCTTTGGATTTAAGAGCATGTTTTGCTTCCCCATTTGTTCAAGACGTTTTTACATTCTTAGAGATGTTTTGTAGTTTTCTTTATATAGGTCTTGTGCATTTCCTGTCAAGTTTATGTCTTCCTAAGCATTTTATCTTTTTTGCTTTCAATGAAAATGAGGACTTTTCTACCATTATATATTCCAATTTATTTTTAAATTGTTTTATTTTACTTGATTTTGGAGACAAAGCCTCACTGTGTTACCAAGGCTGGAGTGCAGTAGCACGATCAGAGCTTACTGCAGCCTAGAGCTCCTGAGCTCAAGCGGCCATCCCACGTCAGCCTCCCAAGTAACTAGGACAACAGGCACATGCCACCATGCCTGGGTAAATGTGTGTGTGTGTGTGTGTGTGTGTGTGTGTGTGTGTGAAGGCAGCGTCTTGCTGTGTTAACCAGGGTGGTCTCAAACTCCTGGCCTCAAGTTTGTCTTTCCACCTCGGACTTCCAAAGCACTGGTTGGTATTACAGGTGTGAGCCACCATGCCTGGCCACAGTTTGTTATTTTAAATACGTCTGAAAGTGTTTGATTTCTGTATATGCAATTTGCTATCTAAGTTAATTCTTTTATAATTCTTAATAATAATAGTTTTTAGGTGATTTTCTTCGTTTTCCAGTCATATAATACTAATAATTGTAAATAATAATGGTTTTCTTTCCAGTTGTTATGATTCTATTTCTCCCTTCTGGTCTAATTACAAGACTCAGTGGGGTAGAAGATGTGTTGGGTTTATCTGCAGAACTTTTTTCTGGTTAAGGAGGTACTTGACTATTTTAATTTTTGTTTTCTTTTTAATTGGGAATAATAACTTTTGTCAAGTGATTTTTTTTAGCCTCTATGGAAATGATCGAATGATTTTTCCTCTAATCTATTTATATAATGGATTCTATTCAATAGGTTATCTTACATTGAACCCATCCTGGTGTTTGAGTCAGTAACCACACTTGTTGATAATTTAGAGATCTTTAATTGTGCTACTTTGGTTCTTTGTTAATATTTTATTTAGAATTTTTCACCGCCATTCATTGATATGATTGATGTATGATTTTACTTGTGCATTTTTTATGGGAGAAACACATTCTTTGCCCAGATTTTAATATTAGTGCTATATTGCCTTATTAAAAAAATTTTTTTTTCCTCTTTCTGTATTTCTGGAAAGTTCATGTATTATTGAAATTATCTACTCCTTAAAAGTTCGGCAGCATTTCTCTGTGAAGTCATCTGACCGGTGCTCTCTTTTTGCGGTATGATGGTAGTGGTAGCTCTGTGATGCTTTTCTCTGTAGTAATAATGAAACTTCAAATTTTTCCATGGGCATTCACTCATGATTTGGTTCTCTTTTCTGTTATTGGTGTATAGGAATGCTTTTGATTTTTGGACATTTATTTTTTAGATTGCACATTTGAATGAGAACATGTGATACTTGTCTTTCTGTTCCTGGCTGCTTTCACTTAACATGATGACCTCCACTTCCATCCATGTCACTGCAAACAATATGATTTCATTCTCTTTTACAGCTGAATAGTATTCTGTCGTGTATAGATATCACATTATCTTTATCCATTTGTCTGTAGACTGAATATTGTATCTATTCATGGATGGAATATTATTCGGTTGATTCCACACCTTGGCTATTGGGGCTACTGCTGCAGGAAACAGGTGCATTATCCTGACGTACTGATTTCTTTTCCTATGGGTAAATATCCGGCATGCATCATAACCACATCAGAGGAAATGGGGCATCCATCCCATCAAGCATTTATCCTTTATGTTACAAACAATCCAATTATACTTTTAGTTTCTTTTTTAAACATTTAACTATATATATTTAAATATACATCAGAGCCACCCTGTTGGGCCAGCAAATACTAGGCCTTATTCATTCAATTGCTTGATCAAGTGACACTTCTATGAAACTGGAGATTATAATGTTAAGTAAAATGAGCTAAGAACAGCAAGACAAACTTCACATGTTCTCAGTTATTTGAGGGAGCAAAAAATTAAAACAGTTGAACTTACGGAGAGAGATAGTAGAATGAAGGTTACCAGAGGCTGGGAGCGTAGTGGGTTGTGCCGACGGGGGAGGTGGGGATGGCTAAATACTTAGAAAGAATAACTAAAAGTGTAATTGGATTGTTTGTAACATAAAGGATAAATGCTTGATGG